GAGGTATTCACTCCCAATTTGTTTGGTTTTGCAAGTCAGTAAAGTGTTGAGAAGAGAGCAATAATCCAGTAGACATTCTTGGTTCAAAGAACAAGAAAATACTAAACCAACTTTGAACTCTTTGGACCAACAACCAGTCACGTGGGACAAAGAGCGGGAAAATCATCAACGCGCTGATTGGAGGTTTCAGATCCAATGCGGGCTACCTGTGTGGTATGGAAGAGGAATGATGTTTTGCCTATATCCCTTAGTCTGATTATGAAATCCATATTGAATCATGGTCGGTAAAGCTGCCGATACACGCTGCAATTTTTTCTCCCACTGGCAACGCAATTTCACATTTTCGTTACACCAAAAAATTGCAACGTCTACCATATCAAAAAATAGTTAATAGAGGGGAACTAGTGCCCCTCTATTAACTATGATCAAAAAGGTAAAAATAGTATTAAATCCCGATTGCCTAGTTTGAATAGGATTATTGTAATGCGCGAGACGCTGCAATTTTCAGTTTTCGCTATTTTTAGGCGTGCAATTCCGAAAATGTTGCAGTGATTTTCTGCAACAATTTGCGAGACATCGTTGCCGTCAAAGTCGCGGGGCATGATACACGCTGAAATCGTGCCTCGTGCTGGCAATGCAACGGAAAAATTGAGATTCCATTGCCAGCGCGCGAAACAATTGCAGCGTGTATCGGCAGCTTAAGCCTTCTTTTTCAAAGGGAATTAGATATGAACGAATAAAAACTATAGTGGTTCGAAAGGCTTTGCCGACAACGTTTCGTTGTACAGCGCTTTGGGGGATAGGAGTTGGCGTAGCTTCAAAGTTTACAAATCCTTGGCGATACAAAATAGGAATTGTGACAAATGATTGAAAAGGGAGGGCTGGAATAAAATTCACCTTTTCGGCGCTAGCCGTCATGGGGTATGAATTGTTTTAGATTGTGTTACGGTCATCAAAAACTTCAGACATTGTTCTCGAATTTCCGTACAAATGTACTGACTCTAAATGAACTATTTACTTGATTAATGTTTAGTTAGTTCTCTAAATACAAGTAAATAATCATTTTTCTAGCTTGATTGAAGCTTTTCTTACTGCTGTTGAGATAGCTAACTAAAGAAATCTACCTAAATTTTCTCTTTAATGTGAATTTGTATGGAAATTCGAGAACAATGTCCGAACTTTTTGGTGACCGTAACACTTCCAAGCTAGCGCCGAAAAGGTGAATTGATCATTAATAACAAAAACTACCATAACAAGTAAAAACCATTGAAATAATTTAAATGGTACATGAATTAGTAAACCAACTGAAATACTCAAATTTAAGACTAAGTCAGCAAAAATCTCTTTTAATTTACTAACTTCACGTTTATAAAATAGAAATTACACGACTTTGTTTGAGCTTGTTGCTCGTTTTCTTTAACTCTTAGTTATCAAACTAGATTTAACTTTATTATTGGCAACTTTTAGGTTTATTTTTAGCCGTTTTATGGGGTTCAGACATTTCCTTATCTAGACCTGCACAAATCATTATCCTTTTAATAAAATTCCAGTTTCCAAATGGACTAAATTACAAAATCCATAAGCGAAATACTTCAAATTATAAAAGTCCTACATGTTAATTATTACTTAATATTAATAGTAATTAATAATAGAATATTACCAATATCAAAAAAACTAAGCATCTACTACGTAGTATAAATCGACGATTACATTTGTTTCTCTTAATCAGGATCATAAGTTGCTGTTTTTTTCTTTCGTGGTATATTTTTCTCGGTAACATTGCATAAGAACACTGGGTTTTTATCAACTTAGCAGTGAAAAATGATTTAACATGAGTGTTAATACCAGACTCATTAAATATCCCAAGTACAGGCGTCCATTCAAGGTAATTAGAATTTTTTCAAAATCAAGGGACCAAAGAGCGATCATGTGGGACACCCTAGTTTAAGATTAAACTCCAGTATTTTGAAAAGAACGCAAGAGAAAAAAGGAAACATACAGATATTGCAGTTGGGGTGCGGCCTCCTTAAATACTTCAACAGGGGTAACTTTTGTTTTCTATTGAGTAGAATACCGACTACTATAAAACAGGCTAAGAAATTTAGTCCTCTTCTTGGACGTCGGCGGAAGCTTCTCCTTCCATGGGTTCAACCGTTGCCCTTTCACGTTTGCGCCTGGAATCGGGAGGAGTTGTATACCCGCTGCGACTGCTAACACCACCACCACCACCGCGACCCCTAAAATGTACAAAAAAAAGAATCCATCTTAGATATTTTAAAACTGCAAAGCGAATAAGATACTCTCAATATTACTCAAACTCCATAGCTGCGAGTCGACGATTAAATTATCTAAATTATCAGTTGGTACCTTTCAAATTTTTGATTGAAGCCCAAACGAAAATCAAATTCCAACGGGTAACTGGTAACCCATTTAATATTGAATATTGCCAAAAGTGAATAAACTAAAGACATGGTCTTTAACATTGTAGAACACGGATCTGCTCCCCTTTTCTTTTGCTAGGTCCCATTTTTCTCGCGGCACGTAGTCGAAACAGGAACCCCAAAACCCCGATTCTTCCTCAAAACCATCAAAAAAACGCCTGCTCTAGGATCTGCCTAGAATCTCCTCCAGTTTCCATCGTGTTCTGCAGCTCCACAGGTTGCTTATAGACACACAAGACATTTCTAATTCTATTCACTTAGGTATCATTGCGTACCTTAGTCGGTTCCTGAGCGAGGTCACCTCTCGTTGTAGTTCCTCATTGGCTTCAAGGGCGTCATCTAACTCGCGTTGGATCTTACGCTTAGACGAATTCATACGACTGGATTCCTCTTCAGCCTCATCGACTTGACGCTTCAAGGCCTTCATACGAACATTCAGTTTGTCCATTTGTTCGCGATATTGATCGGCATGTCGTCGCTCTTCTTCGTTCTGTAGCATCAACTCTTTGAGTTTTCTGTCCATCTTACGGTTAGCTTTGCCCAACAAAGCACGCTCCCTGTTAAAACAATCCTTATTACATATTCTATTCACATTCTATTTGCTGCTATTCTCAATATTCTGCGCATCAGAACTTCCAATGGGTTGTGAAGAACTAGGTTTATCGCTGCCGTCAATCAAAAATAATAAGTCGGTACCTTTCATATTTTTGACTGCAGGCGGCAGAGAAAAACCATTTTCAAAACGAGCCGAGTTCTCAGAATATTGGGAATCCCAGTAATCTCTCCCCAGTCGGGGTTGATTTAAATGAGACATATGCAAATAATGTCCGGAATCAGGAGAGAGATCTAAAGGTCTCTACTGGTCCCAAATACAAGGAAATCTTTCTTCCAGCATTATAGTGGTGTAGTGAGTATAGGTAAGGCTAGCTCACAGATCGAATTGGAATATATTTAGCGCGTTGGGTTTGCGAAGGAAAAGAAAGAAACGAAACAAAATACTGAATAAAATCCGAGAAAACCCACAAGTTAGAAGCGAGTATACTAACATATTACAGATTTTGTGCGATTTAGGCGCACTACTTTGTCAAAATCAAGCTGCACTGATTCAAAAAAAAAAAAAAACGAAATGCACACACTACCCACTGAAAATGCTTTGGGGCGAAAGGTATCGACAATCTCCCCCCCCATGTTTCCAACTTGTACCAAAATGATACAGCGGAAAGTTCTTTTACATACTTGGCTTCGTTTTCTAGCTGTTCGTTAAGAGTCGCCAGTTTACTCTCCAAGGATGCCACAGCCATCTTATGCCGCGTGCGTGACAGAGTTTCCAGTTCGTGAAGCTTAGCCTTCAGGTCCTTATTCTAGAAACAGTTTGAAGAATGTTAGAAAAATTGTAAAAAGATGGGACGCAGATTCTTCAATAACGAATGACAGCGTTGGTAGAGACAACAGAGGCATTGTCAGCATATTTCCTCCCCACTCTACCCCCAGAAAGTAATATTCAATTTACTCCCCATGTAATAGTGTTGAGGCATTGCTATCGTTGCAGGTGTGAATGACTTACTTGTTTCTCAAGAGATAACTTGGCACTCTCCAGGTTTTGGGACTGAGTTCTCTCAGCGTTTAGATCAGCTTGCAACTGTTCCATCTAAAGCAAGATCCAGAGGACATTAATACAAAGGGAGAAAGCCAGAAGTTTCAAAACTACTGAGACAAGGTCCACAACTTATTGAGCCGTGGAAGACGCCTTCTCCTCTTGAAGACTAGCTCGCTACAACACACGCTGTAAAACGTTGGACAATTGAAGTGCCTGTATAGGCCTCAAGATGATGCCGTTTTATATTTCCACCTACAGAATCCCTTTATGCGGTAGCTTAATGCTAATTTTCACTATTGTCTGTAAATGAGCTTTAACATTTCAATAAGGGCTGGTTCATACTTTAATATAAGAATAAGCGTAAGAACAACACAAGTGTGAAGCGGGCTTGCACGAAGCATAAGCATAAGAATATTCCCCTTCAAAAATCCCTGCGCCATCTTGAAAGGTAGCCGTGCCTTTGCAACTAAGCGAGACGAACGGTGACCTTGCAATGTTAGAGACCTTTTTTAACACCTTRGACAATTATTCACATCTCTATCATTGCAAGCTCACGTTCGTCTCGCTTCGATGCAAAGGCACGGCTACCTTTCAAGATGGAGCTGGCAACTGTGAAGGACACTATTACAATAGTACTACGTTTTTTATGCCTATGTTTGTGCTTATGTTAAAGTGTGAACCAGCCCTAAGAAGTGAAAATCTGAATAGGATTGTGGTAGTTTACACATGAAACGTCATAAGGGTTAACGTCTACTGCATTTTAAAGCAGCCTCATCACGGTTGTTTCTCAAGCGGCAGCCATCTTGGCTTGAAAAAGAGATTTTCAAACGTCTAGTCACGGGCGTAAATAAAGGTTTGAATTCGCGTGGGAATGAAATGACTGCAGCGTGATAAAGTTCAATGATCCACACTGCGCATGATTTTTGGTGTTGCTTCCACTGACCTGCATCATGGCTCGCTTTGATTTCTCTATGTTCAATTCACTCTGTGTTCGCTCTTCGTCTACTTCTTCTTCCAAAGCAGAGATTCGAGCCTCTAGTTTTCGTTTCTCGTCAGCCGAGACGCCCCTTCAACCACAAGTAAAAAAAAAACTTAGTAAGCAATCTATAAACCAGGGATACTTACTCTTGAAACCAATCCTTCCGGTTGGAAATTCGTTTGCTATTTGCAAGAAAAGAGCAGGAAACTTTGACGAATGGAACACGCGTCTACCGGAAGAACCGAAAATAGCGGGAAAACTGGATTTTCTCAATCGGGAGACCGAGTTTTCCACGGAAATTTCCGATCAGAAAGACGAATATCATTGGTTCTTCGAACCGGAATTTCAGGTTTTTCCGGGTAAATGGTTAGTACCCCTGGTGCTACTAATATGAACGCTATAAAGATCAGATGATGGGGCGAAAATGATTTGTGCTTCTGCATGAACGCGTCGTCGTCATCCTGAATTTTTCATCAAGGCGCAGGCTTGGACGATTGTGTTGGAAAAAGTATCGTAAAATTGCATCAGAAATGGGGAGTAACAAAGCATTACCTCAGCCCAGAAATCGCAGACAGTTCTTCCTGCAGCTCGTCTCTCTCGCGCTCAACTGTCTTCCTTGCTCGTTCAGCCGATGCAAGATCCTAAAAACCAATTGAAATAAGTATTAGAACTAGAAACACGGTGAAGGAAAGTAGCAGGATATTAACATGAACATTATTAGGAATATTGTATTCGTATTCACCCTCACCGTCATCGCTACAATCATCATTATCGTACATCCCTCATACGATTATTGCCATCGCCATCATCACTCTCTTTAATATTGTTAACATTATCACGATTCTGATCTATTATCACCATCATCCATCACCACTTATCGTCACCATCATCATCACTCATCGTCACCATCATCACTCATCGTTATCATCATCATCAGCATCATCACCACTCATCATCATCATCATGATTACCATCAACCATCACAACATTACTGCCATCATTACCATAATTCACCACAATATTACTATCACCCACCACAACAACACTTCCACCAACATTGCCATCTTCCACGAGTTTTTAGCTACACACCATTCTGTGCTACCCTCGTAAAACAAGTATATATCTATGTATTATTTTTTACCTCTTGCATTTGTAAGAATTCGGCTTCCAACTGCTTCAGCTTTCGTTCATTCTCCTTTGCCTGGTCAGCAATTTCATCACGTCCATGACGAGCATCATCCAAGTCCCTCTGGATGTCCTTCAACTGTTGCTGGTATTTCTTCAGCTGACGTAACCCATCTTCTTTAACCTTATTGGCTGCTTCAAGTTGGTCTTCCAGGTCCCTCATGTCCATCTCTTGCTTCTTTTTGGCATTGACGGCATTCACACGCAGCTTTCTTTCCTCATCCAGTTCTGATTCTAGCTCTCGCAGCTGAATACAAAACAGAAGAAAAGGTTAGTTTGATTTCCATGTGAAGAATAAACCGTTGACTCAGTTGGTTAAGCATCGGACCGTTCTGAAGGAGGTCTTGGTAGCCAGACCAACACTCGGGATCTTAACATAACTGTGGAGAAGGTGCTGCCTTTGTAATTTCCTTTGCAAATGGAGAGACTTTGATGTGGCTTGGATGACCAAGGATCTAGCATGTTTTAGAAATCTCTCCACACTTCATCATTACTAACCAATATTAGAGGGACACCTTATACTAATCACCTCCCATTTTGTAAGGCCTTTGAATACTCATATATATGATAGGAAGGCAGCTATATAAATAGTATACATCATAATTACCACCTCAAATATCTTTTTTTTAATACCTGTTTAAGAAGTCCTTTTCTCTTCTCCTCATTCTGTTCATCCCTGGCTTGTAGTTCTCTGTCAAACTGGGTCTTCAATGCCTGCATATTGACGTCATTCCTTAGCTTAGCATCTTCCGTAGCCTGCAACTCATCCTCCAGTTCTTCATACGACTGCTTCAACTCTGCCAACTGTTGTTCAAGCGAGCGCTTGGCTTTTTCCAACTCGTGTACATTCTTACCAAAATCATCTTTGCTCTCCATCATGGCTTCCAGCTCGTTCTGCGCGTTTTTACGGAGTCGTTCACTGTCAGCGAGCTTGTCTTGGACTTCTTCCAGTTGGTGAGTGAGAGAGATGACTTTGGTTTCGTTTTGGCGTGCTTCTCTCTCGGCATTATCACGCTCAAGGCTGTAGCGTTCAGATACTGCTTTCTCCTCAGCAAGAAGCTGAAAGGTCAGCAAAGTCATAACATGAAAATTTGAAACACAAATAAAAAAAGTAGCGACAATTGCATCGTCTCCCCCCCTCCCCCCTTTATTAAAAGTCTGGCATCTTCTTCACTGCTATTTCCATATTTTTGAAGTCGAGTCACGCACACTGAAAACTCACCTGATCAAACTTTCTTTGCCTCTTCTCGAGACTAGCAACATTGCTTTTCTCTTTGTCCAGGTTAAGCTGCAAGTCTTCAACCTAAAGACGAACAATAAATATACTTAATTGCGCTTAATTGAAGGAGGCGCTCTTTAAAAATCATAAAATTTTAAAATGATAACAAGCAAATGTTAACAAAATAAACAATGAATGAACAAATAGTTTCTTTATAGTTCCTCCCCAAATGAATGTTGACTCGTGTCAGTACTAACCTCATTCTGAAGTCTCTTCTTAGCCTTCTCAAGCTTACTGTTCTCAGCTTGCAGTGCATCTGAATGCTGCTGCATCGTCTCCATTTCTCGTAACATCTTCTTCTTCACAACATCGGCGTCTTCAAGAGCCGCAGCTCTTTCTTCACAGAGCTTCTTGGCATCCACGAGCTAAACAACCAAAAGCAATATGATTAATTTTGCGCTTCCAGTGGTACTTGGTTCGAGCCAATAAGCACTTGCCGTTTAACTGGATTTGAATTTGATATTGACCAATCAAATGACATGTTCTAATAATGTTCGTTCTTACTTGTGCCTGGACGCCCTGCATTTGTTTCTGCAAAGCTTGCCTAGCATCTTCTTCTTCTTCGAGTTGTTCGGTTAAACGATTTATCTCTGCTTCAGTCTCTTTTAATTTCGAACTGATGGCCAGTTTCTGGTGGGTCTCTTCTTGTAACGAATCCTGAATAATGGTAAAGATTATAAGTATAATAATTATTAGCGTATTATTATCTTGCATTGCTAAGATTAATATCATCATCATCATCGACACCATTATCGATCATTAGTATCATTCATCATCATCATCATCATC